TGAAAATTACATCTCTGATTATTATAGGAAGTCAGTGTACATGAAGGTCTATGCACCTGTGATTTATCATGTAAATGGATCAAATCTCTAGGTGAGAATAGAGTATCTAGATATGCAACCTCCTAAATATAGAAGGATGTCTGGAAGATCAAAGAAGAGAAGAAATCTTGAGCAAGGGGAGCTGGATGGAACTGAAAAAAATGAGGAGAGCAGGGTTTGTACTCAGATGTTATAGGTGCAAGTAACAAGGGCACAAAAAATCAACATGTAACGTGACACCTCCTACTCAAGGTACTCTTCAAACTGCTCAAGGTAATCAACAAACTGCTCAAGGTACTTAACAAACTCAAGGTTCCCAGCAAGCTACTTAAAGTTCTTAACATGTTACTCAAGGTTCTCAGCAAGCTACTCAAGAATCTCAACCGCCAAGAACTGGAGGAAGTCATGCAACATCAATTGTTGGAGGAAAATAAGGAAGTCGGGCAACATTAACTGTTGGAGGAAAACAAGAATGTCAGGCAACATCAACTGTTGAAGGAAAATAAGGAAGTCAAACGACATCAACTGTTGAAGGCATACAAGGTTCACAACTACCAAGAACTAGAGGCACAACTGTTTCTAAAAAATCAACACTATGAAGGCCAAATAAGATGGGTGTTAGGAGGCCATCAACACCTTGTGTTCCTCCTATACCTACTACAAGACTAAGTGCTACCAAGAATGCGATTGGCCCAACTACAAGGAGGAAAACTTCAACTAAGAGGACCACACCCAAGAAAAATTCTTAGTTATATTTAGGATGTTATTTAATGGTCTTAAGTGTATTTGGAACCACTTTTTGTATACTGTCATTTTGTGTTATGGTTATGGATGTCATTTTAGAATGCTGTAATTTTGTGTATTTGTTATGGATATCCTTTTGTAATGTGTTTTGGACAAGTTTATATGTTCATCAAAATTATGTGTTATAGTAAAATTCTATGTTGAGCAAGAGTTTATAAATTATGTGCTGAACAATTATGTGTTATGGTAAAATTATGTGTTATGGTAAAATTATGTGCTTAACAAGTTAAATAAAGTTTTCATTGATACATTTCACTCACTGCTAAATGGCACAAAATTCAACTGATACTAACCAAAGCATTTCACTAGAACATAATTTTTCAAGGTTCAACTGATACAGAATAAAACATTTTACTGCTAAATGTCACTAATTTGGAAACTGATGCAAACTTAAACTTTTCAAATAATCATGAAAAAAACAGAACTGCTAAAATTACAATAAAAATTATCATCCAACATTTTTTCGACTTCAAAATCTTGTTCATCTCATTTTAAAGGTGACTCATATCTTTACTTAATTCTTCATTTGTCAACCTAACTTTTTCAAACTCCACTGTTGCATCATCCAATTTCTTTGCTAACTTTTCCAACCTAGACATTATAATTTGCCCTTTCTCGTCTTGAAACTCCTCATAGAACCAATCAAAATACCCATACCCAAGTTGCATTACTCCCTGCAATTAACATAAATTGAACTTCAACAATGGATAAATTCAAATTATAATCAGCATACAAACTGCTAGTACAGAATACATATATACCTTAAAATGAGAACAACCCCAAAAGTGTTTTTCATAGCTCTTTTCCATTGTCGACCTACGAAGAATAGACGTGTCTTCGTGATGAAAACTCGGTTTCCATTGAAGATTCAAGCTTGTGAACATGTTGGATTTCATACTTTCATGGCTTTTCTATTTCATAGAGGATGAACCATAACCTGATTTCATCACTGATACAACCCTAATCTTCAAATTTTGTGAATCTAGATCAATTTTACAAACAAAAAAACCCTAACTCCTAATTCAATTCACAGTTGAACACAGATGGTGGTGAAATAACAAAGGAAAATGAAGAAGAACATACTTGTCATCTACCACGTCGTCATTCACAAATGTCCGTTTGGAGGAAATTGGCAGAAAGGACTCATGTGCTCTATTTTAAATACTTAAGGGATCGATTCGAAAATTTTAAAAAGTAAGGGACCAAAATGGACCCTGAGGTAAAGTTAAGGGAACAAAAAGAGTATTTTTCCTAATTATTATTTCTAGTAAGTTCGTGGTCAAATTTTCTTTTTTTTTTATACAAAAAATAAAGGTGGAATATCGCATTTTTTATTTAGAGAGGACTGTGGAGAGTAATTAGAGGTTGGTAGATTTATTTAGAATTATTTAATTAATTAAAATAATATTTTAGTTTAGTTTTTTAAATAAATAATAAAATAAAAAGGGAATAAGAGTTTGTAGAGATTTTGGAGACATGGTAGGAATTAAAGAGAAAGGTGAGGGTAAGGTAGGAATATCTAAATGAGAGAATTATGTTTTTATTTTAAAAAGAGAGTTAGGAGAAGGGAGTGATATCAATACGTAGAAAAAGTGGAAGAAAAAAAAAGCAAAAGAGATGAAGAGTTAGGGAAAAGGGAAGAACAAGGGGGATAGCTAGAGCTTGAAGGAGAAGAACATCATCCAATTTAGAATTCTTGCTAGGAATTAAGGTAAGGGGAGAATAACCTTAAAAGGGGTATATGCACGAAGGATATGGTAGAGGAGTCCTTAACCTCCAATAGGGTTTGTTTTATCCATTGATTATTGATGAATATATGATGATGAATCTGTTGTTATATGCATTTATTTGAATTGCAATTGTATGTTGTTGTTATAAGGTCGTGTTCTTAAGATTTCATGTGAAATTGTGAGTTTCTATGTATGAAATTAATTGATTAACTCATGATAAAATTGATATGTTTATGTCCATTAGAGAAGAATAGATGTATTGGTGTTGTTAGAATGTAAATTGGTGTAATTTAGAATATTACAATTGGGAGTGATTTTCACATACCAATCTATTGGCTACAATAACCAATCTATTAATTCACTTTAAAAAATAAAAAATTTATATTGAACCAATCTATTGACTACAACAACAAATCCATTGGTTCACTTTAAGAAATAAAAAATTGTATTGAACCAATCTATTGGCTACAATAACCAATCTATTGGTTCACTTTGAAAAACTAAAATTTGTAATGGATCAATCTACTGGCTACAGTAAATAATTTATTGGTTCGCTTTGAAAAACTAAAATTTGTATTTAATCAATCTATTGACTATAATAAAAAATCTAATGGCTCTTTGAAAAAATTGAAAGAATATAACACAGAGGCTAGGATCAATTGATTGATCCTTGAAGCAATCAATTGGTTATTTGGAAAATTTGGCAAATTTTGGTACATGAACATAGACTAATCGGTTGGCCTCATGAGAGCAATCAATTGACTCTCACTTTTTTTATGGAAAATTTCGTAACAGCAGACGGGCCCAATAGAGTGGTCAGCGGCAACAATAGATTGGTTTGCGGTTGTTTTGGTCATAAATTTTAATCCGTAAGGGCAAACGAGACGTGGTTCAAAGCATTGGAAAGCTAATGTGATTTACCATCAAATAGAATTGGTTTCAGAGGCTGAATGTGACATGATGACATGAATAATTGATGAGAGTTGTGTGTATTTGTTGATGTTATATCGTGATAATGTTATGATGTTTGATTTATTATAAGTAGTTAACAATGTAAATGTTGAATATTGAGGATGTTGTAAAATGTGATAAATACGGGCTGTTGCGTGAGCATGATAGTTGATGATGTTAATGATGGTTATGATGTTGATGATTATTAGGATGTTGTTGGATAAAAAGTTGATGATGATTATGATGTTGTTGTGTTATGATATTGAAAATAATATATATGTTGTTGATATGATTGGTGAATAATAGTACGAGTAGGGAGTACTATTATTGTTGGGTCAATGCATGCTTTGTTTATTGTCGGAAAGGGACTTTAAACATTCTGATGTTGTTGCATTGACGTGTTTTAAGATGCTTTCATGATATTGTTGTTGATGAAAGACACAAGTTTCAATCCGAGTAGGGTGGATTAGTGACTTGTCCCGAATCTGAGCAGGGTGGATTCGGGGTTCGAGTAGGGTGCACCTTCTTTGCTAAGGAACCTTCTGATGATATGGTACCACATGCATATGTATCGAGTTGTATCGTCGAGTTGCATTACATAGCTGAGTTGTATGCATGATGTTGATTTTTGTGTGATTGTTGAGATTTGGCGTGTGAATATGTTTGTGAGATCTTGTGAATGTAATTGTTGTAGAATATGTATATGTGTCAATACTCTATCTTGTAGTATCTAGCACTTATTTTATTAATGTGATTTTTTACCCCTTCCGTTTGAATGTTGCATTTGCATGGGCATCATGCAGATACTCAGGAGTAGGTTCCGCTAAAGTAAGTGGAAGCTAGTTTATTAGAGTTACTTTATGGTTTATCGCTTTATATAGTGATATCTTGCTCTGATCATATAATATCGGGTAGGGGTCACTATGTTTTATTTCTATTAATGTTATATTAAAGACTTATGGTGAAATTGTTTTGTTAAACATTTCTATGTTGTTGAGTTGATTGATGTTATTAAAATTAAAGTTTAAGACCAAATATGATATGCTACTTTTCATGTTGTAATGTATCTGAAACGAGTCATTTAGTGCCAGCTACAATAACCTATTTAGTTTTCATTTTTAATCAAGTGTAGGTCAGAAATAATCATCTTGTGAAGATTTTCCAAATCAAACTTTATATAATTCAGAAACATTATTGCCCAAATATAACTTGCAAAACACAAATATCCATTTATTTAATTTGCAAACATTCATTTCATACAAAGGAAGCACATGACACGACCATCATCAATACATGGCCGACACATTCATTTCATACAAAGGAAGCATCAAGAGAAGCAAACATGCATGCTTATACATGATACATGCATGCCATTACAAACATCATAATCATAATAATTATAAAGATGCAATTTATAATAAGAATATCCATAAAAGCAAACAGGCTACTTTTTATTTAATTTAATGTCTTTATGACTTAAAGTGCAACTCTTTCTCCCTTGAGAAGATGACCATCAATGTCTCTAGTGCTTTTGCTAAGGTAATCCATCCAGCCATTTGGAGTATCAACTTCTTCATTGATTTTCACATAATCAATAGTCCATCTAACAGCAGCAGTGCCATCAGCCTTATTAATTACTTGAAGAATCAGCTTAAATACAGTAAAGTTGTCAATATCTCCACCAAACAGCTTGTATGTGATTTTTTTGTTCTCATCATCAACTTCTTCAATACTTTCATTACATGTATGTACCTCCCCATCTGTTCTCATTTTAGACACAATTAATACCAATGGTTAATAAAAAGAAATACCCAAGGACAGACCAGATATATTTTATAATAGGGACAAAATTCACATATAATTTTGTACACCTAAATATATAACCTCTATATCTTTTTCCAAATTTTAATATAATTTTCAAATATTTAGCATTCTTATATTAAAGTTTTTTTAATAAAATAATTTTTTTTTGCTTTTATTATTATATATTTTAATATTTTATTAAAGGTTCTAAAGGGTTTATTTTTTAAATAATTTTCAGGTAATGCTCAACAACTCAAAACTAAGCTGGATCTATATTAGACAGTAAACAACTTTATATATTTTACATCTCAATATAATATAAGTTTTCATTTGGTTATTATAAACACAATTACCTATGACATAAGTCCAGTGTTTAACCGTATCAGAATGATGCCAGTCTTCACCTTCATGCAGCTTGGTATGATGAATTCTTTCACAAAGGTTTTGCACTTCATGAAGTTCTGATGCAAACAATTTGTAGAACTTGTCAGCTGGTGTTTTGATCCCAAGTTCTGTAATAAGCTTACCAGCCAGCACCATTTTGGACAAGAAACTAAATATAATATAATAGAAGAAAGAAAAGAGATGTTATGATATGAGAAAAATGTATGCAAGCCCATGCCTTAAATAGAAATTTGATTGCATTATAAAAATATAAATTGACCCCACAAATTAAATTATATGATGCTCACTCGTTAATCTGTGCTCCCCAACCCATGTGATGCCAGTATAAACGATTTTTTTCCTTTTTTTCTATCACATAATATAGTGACAATATTTTTAAATATATCAATCAACCTTCCAACAAAGCTATATTTACGGGAATATTTATTCTTATCCTGCTCAATAATTTGTAAAATAATATAATAAGTTTCCTTCAAGCGAAATTTTCAAGATTGAAAATGTAGGAGTTTGATAATATGTAATAGATTTTAGGATACTGGTAATTCAATTGATTTGAACTAGTTGATTTAAAGATTAAATGAATTAGAGGTTCTGAATTTAAATTATGATAAATTTGTACAAAATACTAACATAATAATTAATTACTTCAAAGATAATTAACGGATTTTTGTTGTAAATTGATTTAGATTAGTTTAATCTGTTTATGTTTTGTTTTTTCTTTTTTAACTTTTATTTTTATAAGTTAAAATGTAAAAACTCTAGTCTCTTCCTCTTCCCCTAGGGGTAAATATTAGTTCAACTCTTTTGAACTAGAGCTAAAGAAAAAAAAGGAGTTAGAGGTCCAAAGTTCAAATGTTGACAAAAGTGGAAAAATACTCACCTAAGGACTAATTTGTTTATATAAGAAATATTTGGTATACAATATTTTGATTTTGATGGGCTTATTTAAGAGAATTAATTTTACTGTTTTACCGTATGTGGGCAGGCACGGATTTACTCACAGTGGAATAGGGTCAAGTGATTTCACTTGATTTTTTTTTTTTAAATTAATAATAACTAATTTTGAAATATTGATCCCACATTAAATATATCATTATTCTCGTACTACTCATTTGATTTGAATTTTAGAAAACATAAATCTGATTATTAATTTTATTTTATTACTTTTTTTAAAAAAGAAAATGAAAATTAAAAAGACACAAGTAAATTATATTTGTATAAATTATTCTAATTATAAATCAATTTACATACATACTCTATTTTTTTGTCTTCTTTCTTCTACCCATTTTATTTTTTCTTCACAAATCTCCTACTTTTAAGATATATATTATCATCATGATTTTATGCATAAATATTTATATTTTTTTTTATAAATATTTATGTTATTTAATTTTTATTTTTATATTAAAAAAATTAACCTTCACCCCATTAATTAAAATTTTTAAATCCATCTCTAAAAACCACGTTCAAAAAAAGATGTAACGGATCTTTTGTTATAAATGAGCTTAACATAGTTCAATCTATTTATGAATTAATATATCTTCTTATACTAACAACTTTCATACGTTTTGTTTTTTGGAAATTCTAATCTCTCTCATTCTCTTTTGTTATCATTATTATTAACATGGTATTTTTAGTTTGTGTTAACCCTTCTTAAAATTCTTATTACTTTTACTATTGAGTTTTCAAAAATTTGGCAATGTGTTTCTTTTGATTTTGATGTCTGGTTCAATTGATACAATCATTCGAATGAATTGCTAAAGAAATTTCAGCATGCCATCTCTTCCTCAATGTGCTTAAAGATTGATATTATGTCATGTATTGATTTGGATGATACTCTCACGGTAGGTTATGGCATTGTTCATGTATATCATTTAAGTGTTTGTCTCAATATTTGCTATTTTAATTTTTTGTTTGTTTGGTTTCATTTGATTTGGTTTTGTTTGTGTCCTCTATGCAGGGTTAGATTGTTTTTTATTATGTTCGGTTTGATTTGATTGATTTGATTTAATTTTATTCAATTTATTTGGTTTTATTGTATTATGTTGATTTTCTTTATATTTATCTTTCAATTTATTTGGTTTTTTTATTTTTGTCCCTATTTTTATTTGGTATTTTGTTTAGTTAATCATAATACAGTTATCTCTTCTATTTACTTCCTTCACTCCATGAGTTGTATTTTAATCCATCCTACGGTGAAAGGATAACTCAACTGGTTTGTACTAATTGAGTTAAGGGTCAAGGAAGCTGGAGGTCTAAAGTTCAAATTTCGACAAAGGCGAAAAAAACATTAACCTAACAACTAATTACTTCAACAATAAGGAATTCTTTTGTTTTCTTTTTATAAGTTGGGAATCTTTTGTTATAAATAAATTTATGATAGTTTAGTATAAAGAAATTAATTACTATGTATTGCATTGTAAAAAATTTTACAATGTCAATTCATTATCATCAGCTGATTGCATTATCTAACATTATATTAAAATAAAAAGGCAAATTTTCTTTTATATCTAACTTCTATAATTAAGTGTCAGTGCATTTCAATTAAACTTTTAGTTTATTTATATTTTATTATAACTTTTTTTATAGACATTATTAGACAAGAATGTCCTCACAAGATTTTTTTTGTGGGTTTTATTATATATATATATATATATATATATATATATATATATATATATATATATATATATATATATATATATATATATATATATATATATATATATATATATATATATATATATATATATATATATATATATATATATATATATATATATATATATATATATAAAATATTTTTGTGGACATCATCCATCCACTTCTTCAAATTAAATATTTTTAATATTGCTGACAAGTGTGTAAAATTTACATCTTCGATGGAATGATTCTTCCTTGTCACTACATAAAATATCATACACATTAGCTCTCTTAAAAGAATTTTTCAAATATCACATATCATAACTTCTAGTTGGTAATCCATATCCATATTATCTTCATCTCTGAGTGATGCAATAGGGATTTTTGTCAATTCACCATGTCACGTCCTTGTTGTATAATGTTGACACATCTCATCACAACATAAATGATTTAGTATTACTTTTCTTTCAAGATTTTTATTATTCCCTTAAATACCACAAGAACAATAAAAAATTTCATTGTTGCTAGGAATATTTCTTTCAATGGAATAAAGAAATTCAACCACTTCATTTTCATACTCTGAACTTAGTATATTAGCTTTCATCAATCTGCGATCAATAACTGTTAGAATTAACGCAAAACCTGTTGAGAATTTTTAATCAATCTTGATCTCAAGGAATATTATGCGCAACAACTTTAATGAAAAAATGAGAAAGAAAGAAAGAGTTTAACAAAATCAAAGGAAGAAGAGAATGAATTTTAACTGCGTAATCTCCACCCACAAACTGTGGAAACTTCTTTATTCAGTTTCCAACTGTAAAAACATGCGAATATAAGTTATTACAAAATAGGGTTACTCCTTCTATTTATAGATGAGAAAGACCAAAAACACAAAAGCCCAAAATTGCTAATTTTTTGTCTTATGTCGAAATCTTGTGTCAAGCGACCTACTTCGACACATCTGTCATACCCCAAATTTGCCCTACTTGTATATCACCCTCATCTGTAGATCCACTCACCAATTCCTATTCAGAAATTAAAAAAAAGGGATATGTTGCTCCTACTCAGGGTGTTACTAGGTTGAATCAAATTTCAAGCAAGCAGTTAAGACAGGTGTATGCGTGGTTTGAACTGAGGTTCAATGGTTTTGACTCGAGTTTTCTGTCAGGCGAAGTTCTATCTCAGGATTTGTCAAGGTTATAGTGCGTAAATCAGGTTGTATGTGCTTATAAGTTTTCGGTTAGGGTTCCGTGGCAATTCAAATTGATTGCATAAAGATAAGTTTTTAGGTTATGTCAAGTTTTAATGCTTCATGGTTAAATCCAGTTCCTTCAAATTTCAAGCTGGCTTCATGTTCATTTTTTTTTGCCAAGATTAATTCAAGGATCGATGAAATGTAGTAGTCGTTTGAGTTCTGTCTAGATATGCCTTCAGTGTTCTAAGATGAGGTCTCATTTTTATGACCCAAACCCACTGTCCATTCTCTATTATTTAGTATCCTACTTTCATATCCATATCCTTTTTCACATATACAAAGCCCTTATTTAGTTCAAAATTCATCCACACCTAGTGTCTACTTTTCATAAATAATTCCATTTTAATCTAAACCATTAGTCCATATTTATTTTTATTATGTTCCCTAACATTAATTCTAAATCCATTTTCTAAATTCAAATTAACCCATGATTATTCTTTAGACCCATTTAATATCCAATTCCTTTTAATTTACATTTCATAAGATCCCAAATCTCTTTTTAATTCCATCACTCATGAAAATCTCTATCTTAGGAAATTCACAAAGGTTTACAAAACCAAGCCCATTTTTGTAACAATTTGCTAACTAAGAGTAGTGCAATATTTGGCCCATACAAAGAGATATCTTATCAAAAAAGCCTCATTCAATGTTAAGAGTTCATTGCAGTATGTTATAAAGAGTTGGCATGATACCATCTGCTGCACAATGTAACTCACGCAACACCCCAACGTTTCAAGATAAAAACTCCACATTCAAAATATTGCTGCATCTATTTTCAAATGAGCTCATTGAATAAGTTCAGAACAAAGGCCATGGTATTTACATCATTTTTAATACAAGAATTTGCAAATAAAAAATACAGACAGTGAGAATTGCAACTTGTATGAACTTTCCGCGGATTCCCTTTACCATGAACCATCGCGCGGCAACACATCTCATCCACGATTCCTGCAGATATCAAAGTAGCCCATTAATTTATACTCTATAGCAGACACCAAAATGCACGTAACCAAACAAATCCCAACATTCACTGCACCTCATACAAGTTAGCACCAAGTCCAACACATGTACGTTCCAATACACAGCAGCAGAATACCCCAACACACAACCTACAGAAAATGACAGAAAGATACCACAAAATGCGCACCAGCTCGAAATTCCTCACGCAACGCAACAAACAAACCCACAAAACAACACGGGACAATACAACAGCCACCACCAGCAATTCGTACAAAAC